TTTGTAAAATGCTGACTGCGTAGCATTGCAAAGAGAACTTGATACCATTTTTTCCAAACTGTTCCCTAACATTAGATTTTCTTTAAAAAATGTTTCCTATAATAATTCAGTCTCTAAGTGTGTATTAGTCTGTTCTCTTACTGCTATAAAGAAATACCTGAGACTGGGAATTTATAAAGAAAGGAGGTTTAATTGGCTCACGGTTCTGCAGGCTGTACAAGAGGCATAGCAGTTTCTGCTTTTGGGGAGGCCTCAGGAAACTTACAATCATGGTAGAAGGTGAAGGGGAAGCAGGCACATCTTACATGGGCAGAGCAAGAGGAAGAGAGAGAGAAGGAAGGGAGGTGCTACACACCTTCTAAACAACCAGACCTTGTGAGAACTCACTCACTATCATGAAAATACCACTGAGGGTATGGTGCTAACACATTCATGAGAACTCCACCTCCATGACCCAGTCATCTCCCACCAGGCCACCTCCAACACTGGGGATTACAATTTACATGAGATTTGGTAGGGACACAGATCCAAACCATATTAGGATGCTTCTAGAGATTGAAAGCTACCAGAAGTGAGAAATGAAGTCAAATATAAAATAATCACTTCTTGAAATTGATGCACTCTTTTAGTAATTTGCTTGGTAGAATCGTATACAATATGAATCTTACTGAAATTCATTACTAGTTTGATCAAAGTTTTGAAAATCAAAATTATAGTCCATTGGCCAGTGCTTATACAGCTTTGGGATTATAGTTTGCATTGGGACATAGAGAATAGGGCCAGCCATGTCACTGTCTGGGCAGCAACAGTGTGGTAAGTGTAATAAAGGAACATGTGGTGTGGCTGAGAGAATAATTTGTTCTTTGTGGGTATGTCAGGGAATATGCTTGAATTGGGCTCAAAATGGGTAGGAGTCTCCACAAGGAGTTGGAGGGTTGGAATGGGAGGAACTAGTAGTAGTGAATATTGCCGCACGTTTGAGTCTGAGTCTCAAGCAGTGGGAAATGAGACTGAAGAGACCAACAGGGCCTAGAGCATGAAGACTTTGCACCTTGTTCTGCGACTTCCCTGCAGTGGAGTGAACAGGGTGACTCGTAGCATCAAGACCAGCCAGGAAGCTCCAGCAGCAACATAAGTTAGTAGTTCTTGAATTTCAAATAGGTGTGTTGATATTCACTTCGAGTGGTGGCAAAATATTACAGAAAATACTTAGGGAAAGTTATAGATTATAGTCTCAAACCTTTTGGAAGGCCAAAAGGTTTTATTGAGGCAGGTTGGCATTTCATCCTCTGAAAGTAGCTGATGGCCATCCCTAGTCCATTTGAATCACTGTAATGGTGTGAGAATGCATTCATTCATCCGTCGTTAAGTCAGGTTCTGCAGGTTGGACTTCCACAGGTGGTGAGTGATGTCTCTGGTGGTGACACTGACATGATTGGGGCCACATAGGTGTGCATAAGTTTATTAGTCCTTAGCCCTTTTTTTTTTGAGACAGAGTCTCATTCTGTTGCCCAGTCTGGAGTGCAGTGGTGTGATCACAGCTCACTGCAGCCTCAACCTCCCAGGCTCAAGTGATCCTCCCTCCTCAGCCTCCCAAGTGCCTGGGACTCTAGGCCACTGTTACTGTGCCTGGCTAATTTTTTTAATTTTGTAGATATTGGGTCTCACTCTGTTGCCCAGGCTCAAGGGATCCTCCTGACTTGGCCTCCTGGAGTGTTGGTGTTACAGGTGTGAGCCACCGTGCCTGTCCTGTCTTTACTTTTTGAATCAGAATCTCCTGGGTGGAGGCTGGTTCTTTGCATTTTTTCATGGGCTCTGGAGATAATTCTGAAGCTCACTGGAGTTTAAAAACTACTGGTGAATGATGAGGATATCTGAACTAAGACAGTGAGAAAGAAACAAGTGCCGTGATTAGAGAGTTATTAGGGATCGGCAACGAGGTAGTGAGATTCCTGGTGACCATCTCTCTGTAAGGAATGAGGGAGTAGCAGCATTATGGCTTGAGTGATTTCAAAAATGCCATTCCTGCCCATTACTTATATGGCAACACAGAGCAGATGTGTGCAAGAAAGGAAGTTTAATCTTAGATACAGGGTGAAATTCCTATCAAGAAATGCCCATTTTTATCACCCAGAAATAACATTAACTTAGGGAAAATATGTTTCTGTCAATATAAATATTGCAGGTAATAATGAAGTACTTTCGTTATATAATACTTATTCTTTTCAAAGTACATATTCAGCTCACGTTTGTTTGGCATTAAGATTTGTTGCATGCCTACTACATACTGTGATGATTTTTAGCCTAGATTTATCATTATTATTATCATTTTACAGATTATGAAACTGAAGCTCAGAGGGGTTAATTCATTTTTCTAAGGTCAGTCTGGTCAGGAACCAGGCAGGATGAAGATTCAAAACTCCTGACCTTGCCAAGTCCAGTTTTCTTCCCATTATTACACAGCTGCCTCTAATAATATGGACGGGCAGGGCCTTTTTTTCTTATTATTTATACATGGTGAACTTGAAATTTAGAGAAGAGCCTAAGGTCTCAAACTGGTAGGTATCAGAGCAGGGACCAGAACCCAGGTTCCTGTTTCCTGGTCCCAGCTCTTTTCACTTCCAGGAAGTGAGAAGCAGGAAGTCTCCTGCTTCCCAGATGATTGCAGAAGTTGGGTTTGTTTTCCTACTTGTTTTATGTACAGTTGGACCTTTACCTCCTAAAATGGGAAGACTTCAGAACATTATAAATATTGATTTGAAGGGAAGAAATATTGTTTGAGAGGCAAAGCTGATCTCAAGGCTCAGTTGCTTTGAGGTAGTATGTGACAGCACATATCCAGCCTGGGAATGATGTGTGTGTGTGTGTCTTTAATTAGGAACCTGACCTTGATGGTGAAAGAAATATGGAAATAACTCCAGGAGAAAAGGTACTTAGGAACACCAAAGAGCAACGGGATCTGCATAATCGGCTGAGAGAGATTGATGAAAAGCTGAGAAAGATGAAGGAAAATGTGGTAAGTCTTTCTGGTTTTTTTTTTAAACTAATTTTTTTAAGAAAAAATAGAGGCTGGGTCTCACTATGTTGTTTAGGCTGGTCTCGAACTCCTGGGCTCAAGTGACCTGCCCGCCTCAGCCTCCCAAAGCGCCAGGATTATGGATGTGAGCCACCACACCTGACCATCTCTCTTATTTAAAGTTTAATTGTAACCAACAATTGTACCAAAAAAGGTTTCAGTCTCTTTTGATTGTTTTATGACTGTTCTCATGTGTTAAATCAGCCATGTGAATTTGCCACTAACAATGTAAATAAAAGCTAAAAATATAATTCATAGGACTTTGATATTATTCTTAAGCAATTTATATGATATAAAACGTTAAATAACTTATAAAACATAGTCTGACTTCAGATAGTGTATAAGATACTATCTGAAGGCAGAATAATAATCCATAATCCTAATACTCTGACAGTGACACAAATATTCACTTTTTGTGGAAAGATTTCGTATTTCTCCCTAAAATCATCCTTATGTTTTGAACTTACAGGATTAAATTCTCCCACTTTTTGTTCATAATCACTAACATGTTATTAATAATTAATTAGTTTTAATGCATTCCAAATCTTTCTTAGCCTACTTCATGTTTTTCTTGCTTAACATCAAGACATGTCATTACTGATGAGTGAAAACTCTTAAAGGAACCAAATTGTGAGCTGATTGATACTCTGAACCTATTAGAAATGCTCTATAATATTATGATTTTCCAGCTACCCATTGCATGTTTTCAGCTGGATTTTACCTAAAATTAACGATGTCAAGGCTGAGCTTGTGACTGTGGTCTTGCAGTAATTACCTGCAGTAACCCCTTTGGTCTCCTACTAAACTCTGTCATCTTGGGTGATGATGATGATGATCTTCAAGCCTCTTTGAGTTTTAACCAATATGACTAATTTGTTGCCATATCCTCCTGAGTTTCTTATGACTCAAAACCTTTTTTTGTCCCTGCTTTTATCACCCTTCTCTCAGTGTTGTCACCTCATGCCTTAGCCACTTATAACCTGGTTTTTATAGGATTTCTTGTCTCCAGTCACTCCTGTCTCTCATTATTCCACTTAATATACTTCTTTGTGGAGTAAGCATCAGGTGAGTGATTTTAAAATGTGATCCCTTTCAAGAGCCCCTGAGAGTGTACAACAATCCCACCTTCACACCTGGTGATCAAGCCCAGTTGAACTGTCCTTACCACCTGCAGGCCACAGATAGCAGCACTGACACAGAGCCTGATGGAGATCAGGGCCACCTACTGAGTTAGGCAGCAGATCTAGAGGGAACTAATACATGGTGCTTCTTTTATAGCTCATTTCTATTTGCTTTGCATGGGAAATCTCATGGGTGTTATATTTCAGGGAGACCTCTGTTTCTATTTTCAGAGGGATTTTCCTGATTCTGTTGATGGGATGAAGTGGAAGTGGGAATGAGTGTATGGGGGCTTGTGGCAGTCATTGTTGTGGTAACGATGGTACGTTGCAAATTCGATGTGATAAATGAAATGTTTGTGGTTTGATCGGTTTTGAAAACTGTTGGTACTTCCTCTCACCCCATATCTGCCAATCCAAGGCAGACTAGACCTGCCGCTCCCCACGATCCATTCTCCTGATTTCTGACTGCTGTGGTCTGGATATTTGTGTCCCCAGAGAATCCCTGTTGAAATCCTAATCCCAAGGTGATAGCATTAGGAGGTGAGGCTTTTGGGGAAGTGATGAGGTCATGTCAGTGAAGCCCTCCTGAGTGAAATTAGTGCCCGTATAAAACAGATCCAAGGGAGCTCATTTGCCCCTTTTACCAGGTGAGGACATGTTACCCCTATCAATAAGGAAATGGGCCCTTTCTAGGCACCAAACCTGCCAGCTCTTCGATCTTGGATTTCCCAGCTTCTAGAACTGTGAGAAATAAATTTTTCTTGTGTATAAACCACCCAAAATACCATTATTTTGTTATAGCAGTCCACACAGACACTAAGACACTGGCCATTTATCACATACCTTGAACGTGCATCTGTTCTTTTCTACCACATCTCTACCATTATTTAATTTTTGACTCAAAACCTGGGTCCTTTAAGAAATGTTGTATCATTCCAGTGCCTTCTGAAGTTTGGCTACACTTAAAGGGATATGATAAATGTCAAAACTGGTTGTTATCCAAGTGGAAAAGAAAAATACATGAGTAGATAAGAACAATTATTGAATACCAACTATGAGCCAGGCACTGTCCCAAGTATTTTACAGATACTAAATTATTTAACCATCACAACTGCTCTGTGAGGTAAATACCACACTCCTCATTTTATAGATGAAGAAATGGAGCAAAAGAGAGGTTGCCTAATTCCTTAAAGTTATACAGCTAGTAAGTGGAAAAGATAGGATTCAAATGGTTCGTGTTTAACAACTATGCTAGTACTGCCTTTCTGGGACTTGCTTTTCTTTTCATGATTTTTCTTTTGTTGTTAAATAAAATGTGATACCGTTTTTACTGTTAACATTATTAATATGGCATTTATATAAGCTTGTTTCTAGGATAAGGGGGGAAGGGGAAAGTTGAAGACGGAGGGAGGGGTAAGCCTTGGAGAAGAATCAAGGTACCCTTTCCCTGACTCAGGTTGAAAGAAAGGAAGGGTGGCCAAGAGAGTCAGGCTGAGAGATGAAGAGAAGGTGGGAGAGGCCAGGCTTGAATGTTCTCTACTTACCCTGTAAATTAGTGACCACTCCATATGGTCAGAGTGAGAGGGTAGAATTGGGATTGAAGAAGAGAGCAAGGAACTGGAGAATGAGAAAAAGCAATGGTAAACAGTTAGGTAGCCCAGGTGAGGTTGGAAACCCTCCTGTGAAATGGAGCCAGTCAGCAAGGCTGAAAGGTTGCTCTGACAGCCCTCAGCAGTCCACCAAAGTTAGAGATGAGGGTTGATGAGTGAGGCAAGGCTGAGGAGAGGTTGGGTGATTGCAGTGAAAGATCAAGGGGGCAAGGGAACTGGTGGCAGGTACCTATGAGACCGTAACTGAAAACAAGAAACAAATGTAATATATATACCTCAGGTATCAGCTGGGACCCTTTTGCCTCACTTTGACCCAGTTTCATAACTTACTATACAGACACAGAATAGAACACCATCTGCCTATCAGAAGAATGAGGTAGGTCTATATATCTTGAAAAGATGTCTGTGATAGAGTATTAAGGAAAAAGAGCCTTTTGCAGAAGACGACGATTAGTATGATTCTATTTTTATAAAAAGAGCCATAGGAAAATCCTGGAACAATATACATATAACAAATGCTTAACAGTGATTACTTTTAGTGGGGCATTGAGATGAATGGGGAGATGAAGAAAGGAAATTAACTTTTTATAACACACACTATTTAGAGGAGAAAGTGTGTTGGGATTATGGGTGATTTTTATATTATTTCTTATGCTTTTCTTTATATCTCAGACTTTCTGTAACATACATGTGTTGTGTCTATAAATAGAAATAAATCAATGTTTAAAAATGTGGAAAGCATCTATGTGTACATGGGATCATTGCTTATTGCATCTCAATAAGTGGTTTTTATGTATTTAGAGAAAAAGAGTGAGTCATCACAAGGAATAATATTCAGCCTTATCAGCAATTAAAATTCATATTCAAACAACCTGTAGGAACTAGATAGACCTGTTAGGCCAGTCAAAAGAATGACAAGTGTGATATAATTATGTGTCAGTGAGAGTGGTGTAAAGATTGGGACAGCGATATTTGGACATTATTGGTAGCTTTTTGAATGGGTTATTTTTTCTCCTGGAAAACAATTGGTCAATAAATGTAACAACATGATTCATCATGTTGTTAATAAATAAATGTATAACATGTATAAAATAAATGTATAACATGATTCATCTTTTTGACCTGTATAATTCTACTTTTAGGAATATTTTCAAAGTAATAATGCCCAAGGAAACCAAACAACAAAAAAACCCAGGAAATAAATGTTCTCGAAGAGGGGAATGTCAGTGCAACTTACATAATATTAGCCCTTTTAATACTGTGGTGGGATGATAAAAATGACAGGTACATGGATCTGGTCAATAGAAGAATTTTTTTTTTCGTAGTCTCAATCTCTCGTGGCCAATTTATTTCAACAATGGAGAAAGCTCACAGTACTCTAGAACTAAGAAAGTGCCAATTCACTTGTTTCAAAGAAGTGTGAATTAAAAAAATTTTTTTTATTACACTTTAGGTTCTAGGGTACATGTGCAGAGCATGCAGGACTGTTACATAGGTACATACATGGCAATGTGATTTGCTGCCTCCATTCCCCGTCACCTGTATCTGGCATTTCTCCCCATGTTATCACTCTCCAACCTCCTTACCTGCCCCCGCTGTCCCGCCCCTATTTCCCCCCAACAGACCCTACTGTGTGATGATCCCCTCCCTGTGTCCATGTGTTCTCATTGTTCAACACCTGCCTATGAGTGAGAACATGCGGTGTTTGATTTTCTGTTCTTGTGTAGGTTTGCTGAGAATGATTTCCACATTTATCCATGTCCCTACAAAGGACATGAATTCATCGTTTTTCATGGCTGCATAGTATTCCATGGTGTATATGTGCCACATTTTCCTTGTCCAATCTATCATCGATGGGCATTTGGGTTGGTTCCAGGTCTTTTGCTATAGTAAACAGTGCCACAGTGAACATACATGTTCATGTGTCTTTATAATAGAATGATTTATAATCATTTGGGTATATACCGAGTAATGGGATTGCTGGGTCAAATGGAATTTCTATTTCTAGATCCTTGAGGAGTAGCCACACTGTCTTCTACAATGGTTGAACTAATTTATACTCCCACCAACAGTGTAAAAGTGTTCCTATTTCTCCACATCCTCTCCAGCATCTCTTGTCTCCAGATTTTTTAATGATTGCCATTCTAACTGGCATGAGATGGTATCTCAATGTAGTTTTGATATGCATTTCTCTAATGACCAGTGATGA